TCAGGTCCAAAGTCTAGCAGTTCAAACCCAGGTCACCTCATCTTACACCAATGTTTTGGTGTTTCAGCTCACATGACGTTTGGAAGCTGTTTGTTAAGAAATGACTTTGCGTCTATTTGTCACCTTTAATTTGGCACCTATAACCTGGTCTCAAAGACCTATGACAGTTTTCTAATGTCGCTGACCCGAACTGGCATCACACCAGAGATGGGTTACATCAAAGTGGCCCAAAACAAAAAAGAGCTTCAAAGCTACTGCTTGTAGAGACACAGGCTGCTCTGCCAGGGTTCATTAAAAAGTCATAGCTGGGTAAACCGTCCTAACATCGAAATAAGATGTTGCAGAATGCGCTGAATTAGGCGCCGGTACGTTATGGAAAGCCTGGAAAGCTTAAAGCCCCAGTGATGAGAGCAGTGGTCATGGCGTTGCGTCCTCAGTTGAGTAAATCACGGCAATGTTGCGGCCTCACGGAGTCAGCAGCTTCTCACTGAAGACACAACTGCTTGCTTGCGCATCTGTATGTGCATAATATCTCGGCGTGTCCCTGGCAGTTGTTTACGACTGCACGGGATAGCGCCTCTGAATACCGGAATGCCCCTGACGACAGCCTCGGCTGGCAACGCCGCTGGCCGCACCCCTGCCCGCCTTACCCGCTGTCACCATCGGCGTGCATATCTGCCGAGTGGCACACCTCTGCAGAACCGGGATCACAGGTGTGACATTTGGCGCCAGAGCCCTGACATTTGAAGCCGGAGCCCTGACACTTTGGAACCGGAGTCATGACATTCGGAGCCGGAACCGTGACATTTGGAGCCGGAGCCGTAACATTTGGAACCGGAGCCATGACATTCGGAGCCGGAGCCATGACGTTTGGAGCAGGAGCCGTGACGTTTGGAGCCGGAGCCGCGACATTTGGAGCCGGAGCCGTGACATTTGGAGCCGGAGCCGTGACATTTGGAGCCGGAGCCGTGACATTTGGAGCCGGAGCCGTGACGTTTAGGGCCGGAGCAGGACACAGCCTGATGTAGCACAACACAGTCGTTTTGAACGGGCGGCGGACACGTTCTGCTCTGATGTGCCCGCGCCGGTGGGCGCTGGGCCCTGATCTGCCCGGCGCCGGTGCAGCCGTGGAGGACCCCGGTAGAAGGGCCGTGGCCGCCCCTGGCGCCGAGCATTATCTTCTGTCCGGCGCGCTCGCCCTCACCGGCGGTGCAGCGGCCACCTTCCCAGCAAGCCTATCGGGGCAGTCAATCCCGAGAAGCGACGAACGCTGCCGGCCGCCGCCGTGTTCAGCCCGCGTCACTGTGACGTCAGAGGCGTCATCATGGCGAGATACGTATGCGCATTTATGCATTGCACGTGTACGTCGCACACGTGGGGTCACGTGGTCTCCCTCGGCGTGTCGTGGACCGGTGTGGAGCGTTCTAGATTGACTGGTGCACTTCCTGTGTGAGACTTTGGAGGTGGGATGACATTTTACAAAGTACACTCGACGCTGATCAAACCAGTGGTTCATTTCACTTGAGCGAGTCTATTCTGGCCGCGAGTGCAGCACGTTCGGGTGGCTTTGATCTCACAGTGGCTGTAATAAATAGCTTTTTATTTCAATTTTTATTTTCCATTTTGTATATTATTTTATTTATTCTTATTCTTATTTCAACTATTTCATTTCGAAGAACAATAAATGCAGACAAATTTGTGGTGGATGATTTATTTACTCACTAATTTAAACTTGTGTGTGCAATGCACGATTTTTAAAAGCCTTTCCTCCCTCTAAAAGTTATTCCTTCCTTCCTTCCTTTCCAAATTTCCTCCAGCCGCACAGTCCCGTTCTACTCGGCAGGCTCGACTAAAAATTACACAGTAGTCTAATGAGTTTCTTTGACTTTCAGCGACTTCTGTACTATTTTTCTGGTCATTTGGGAAGAGCTGCGGTGGATATACCGGGACCGAGCTTCCTCCGCACGGTATGCAGCGGATGACCCGACTTTCGAGCAGGGTTACCCGATTCCATAGCACCATTTGGAATGTGTCTCGTTCATCATGAAATAGGATGCTCCATATTTAAAGATACTGAGACAAATCTGGAATAGAAAATTTCAGTATTTAGTAAATATGTACCTCACTACGTCATCGTTTGATTGCGCCATGAAACATCTTTATGACTTCGGAGTCCCTGCTAGGCCGGCTGTGTCAGAACTGCCATTGTCGCGGACGGGCTGACTCAATTGTGGTACTTCAGGCCTGCCGGGAGGTGGGAATGTTTGCTGGCGCGTGTTTGCTGAACCCGAATATTGTTATGTGCTCGTGTTTTGGGCCTTTCTTGTGGTGTTCATGTGTATTTCTGCGCCATTTGGCATGCTTTACTTGCATTCACGTGCTGGGTTATGGCGTCATTTTTTAGTTATTCGATTCCCAGCATATTTCTGTCGCAACTGGTACCACATAACTGGTACCACTGCCCAAATTACTGTATTGTGTAGTAGCGAAACGCCATTCGTGTTCGAAACTCACACCCAACACATAAAGTTGTTTGAAGGCTAGCTGATATCCGTTGATACCACGAATCGTGTTGTCGTACGCCAGAAATGAAAATTTGATGATCACATTTTTCTCAACCTTCAACACTGCATGGCCGATGTGGTACCACTATTCGCGTGATGTTTCTATGGTGTCATGCATGCCTGGGCAGCAGTGAAAAAGTCTGCTCGAAACAGTTTGCACAAGCTTGCGAGCGTTTAGCTAAAAAGAAGAGGGTTTTCATTAAAGAAAAGGTATGCTGTGAACTGCCCTGAATGATTTCCGGAATGGCTATTTCATTTCAAAGCCTCATACAAATGTGGAACCCTACCTTTAATGCAGGTTAATTTTTACGGTCTGCTTATGTGCTCTATTTAACACCTAACTCATTTAGCAGGTGTCAGTATCACCTTAAAACAGCAGACCTGCCATATTGTGCGACCGTGGTTCTGAAGACGCCATGCAATTTTGATCTTTTCACAACCATAATTTCACACTTTGGGACCAGAATGCCAATTGTTTTCACTGATCACACCTGAAGCTGCAGGAAATAGTAGGTCGCGAAAAAGATGCCAGCTGTTTACATCCCAGACGACAAATAAATTCTTTTGGAACTAAAGAAAGAAAAATTGAAAGAATCGCTCAAGGACTGGCCTAAATGTGATTTGCAAGATGGAAAAGTCCTTCAAGGCCAAAATTAAACACTGAAAGCGAAGCCTTTTTAAGATTTAGGCATTTTTCATTTCATCGCATATCTCACCTTTGTGTGCGTATAGGGCCTCGGTGTCAGAGAACATGTAACGTTTGGATCATGTCGCCTCTAAGGCTGCCAGTCAAGTAGGGGCTGTTTCATAGCAGAAGGATGAAAATGAGCACGAGTGTCCCACACTGGCTGTCATTCATGTCACGATCCTCCCCTGCCAAATGGCACTGTCCCGACGGTTTGGGGTTGGCGCCAACAGTACAAGGGTGGCAATTTTGGGCCCCGTCCCACGCGTGACAAGTCTTTTTCCGAGCCGATTCGATCGAAACTGACCACCCAGCCACCCGTCCCCGAGCCGATTCGATCGAAACTGACCACCCAGCCACCCGTCCGTCTTTGAAGTAAATCACCGCACGAGGCCGCGCCGGTCGAGTCTCTGCAGCTTAGCCCGAGTGAAAAGGACTGCTGAAGTTGAGCAGGCGCGTCGCACGAGCATCTTGGCAGAAATCGCCTGAAGCTGGGTGCCGTTCAATGTCCCCGGTTCAACCCACCGAATTTTGGGCACCTAGTTCACTGCTTCCGGCACCGGAGAATCCCGAGTCCAAATCTTTGAACGCGTCAGCACGTCACGCCGCTGACCGCAGATGGCCACTGACCGCAAAATACTCGTCCATGATATCACCCAACTTTGGACCAGTGGCGTCATCCTTCTGATCCGTACCCCTGAATGCGTGAATATAGCTGTGGTGCAGGCCGATGGCCCACGCCACGTGCCGCTCGCCACGGATTGCCTCCACGCCGGCACCAGGGTCTGTCTGCCGAGCCGGCGTACCAGGTCGTGCCGCTCGGCTCCCGGTCCGGCGGCGCGTGTCTGCGCAGCATGCTCGAAAGATTGAACACACAAACACGCACGCACGCGCGCACGCACGGGCAAACGTCAGATTCTGAACTTGGCCGAGCGGTTGCTGTGTGTGAAATTTCACGCCGGTCATATCAAACGCGCTTCGCTAAAAGTGGGAAAAATACACACTTTTGCTGCCTCAATTTGGAACAATTACACACGAAGTGGTAATAAATTCTGGTAATAAAGGATTAGTGTTGCCTTCAGATAATGCAGCACCGATCTCCTCGAAGGTTTACTACAAAACGCGGTGACAGCATCCATCTGGGCTCATACGCATTAAACATGGCAACATATGCGCCATGCTGCCTACAATTGAGCGCTGTCCGATGTAGAGTGAAAACTTACATTCCAAAGCATGGTCAATATAGTTTAGAAGTTATTTTTCTAAAGCAATGTGAATGTAATTTAGTCTTTGTGATCATGTATGTGATCATTGTTGGTGATTTAAACGGCCGGCTGCATCGTGGCTTTGCTCGGCACGTTAAGCGTCCTAATTCCACCCGATTTCTGTAAAAGTGTGGTGCATTATTACTTCGCAGTTTGGACCGCTAGGGTGACACGATTATATACACGTAACCAGCTTTATTTTGCGAGGACTCAGATCCTAACTTAATCCTATCGGATAATTCACGTGAACGGCTTTCCGTAAACTGCACTCGTCTCAGCAAACACAATCAGGCCTTGCAACCGCCTGAAATTTTAAGTAGATCACACTGCCGCAGCAGTCGGCACCGATGGCTTCCATTATGGTCATGTTCTTTCCGCCCATATTGGCCCGCCTGCACGGCCGCAGACGGTGCGCGGTGTCGGTGACCGTGTCTGGAGATAGCGCTGACCTCTACACCCAGTCTGACTGTCGTACCCCTGCGGCAGGCGGTGATTCCGGTTATCTACCAGGGTAGCCTGGGCATGACCATGGTGAACCCAGCCATGACGCCGGCGCAGGGCTTCGGCGTCGAGGTGCTCATCACCTTCGTCCTGGTGTTCGTCGTGTTCGGCGTCTGCGACGAGCAGCGCACTGACGTCATGGGCTCGGCGCCGCTGGCCATCGGCCTCTCCATCACCACGTGCCACGTGGGAGCTGTGAGTACATGTGCGCCTCGTCTGGCAGGCGACCCTGGCTTCCGCCTCACTGTCGCGTACTGGCCCGGGGCGGCGCTACCGGCTACGGCGAACTCAGTGACGCGGCTGGGTTCGGGGATTGGAGAGTGACGGCAGGCTGCAGGCGCGTATCTGCCGACAATCAGCTTCATATATATGCAGATCAAGCTTCCCATGGGTCTATGTGCCACTCGTGTTCACTGCGCCCGCGGCATGGAAGCATTATTCAGTTGGCACCGTCGGTGGCCCCGATGCGGCTCATTGCAAACTACGCAGTTCCTTGACGTCATTCAAGAAACTGCCTACGTCAATGCAGCTACGCCACTACCTAGGAAGTGCGCTACCCTTGGCGTCATTCTTGTTGTGACGTAGCTCAGAGATATTCGGGGGATTGGGCTTACCGAAAAATTATTTTGAGCTGAATGCGTGCTTATTCTGGTATAATCTCTTGATTTATTTGACATATCATGTTTAGAAAAAAGATACGTTCTCAATAATTCCAAAATTTGTGGTCTTGATACGGCACCACCAAAGACCCATTCTTGCGTGGTTTTAATTCACAGCGCAGAAGTGAAAATGGGCAAGGTTTAAACTGTTGAGGACTTGTTACGGTTGTGAACCTAATTTTCGGAATCATAACTTAACTGTCTTAAAAGGAACACTCAGAAACTTCAGCGTGCATGCACATTGTCACCAGAATGGCATCATGTGATCAGTAGGGTCACCTGATGAACATTTTTCAACCGCACGAGTTGCATCATGCGTGACGATTGCTGCCGATTGTTACGATGCCTTTATTACCCTCACTGCATCGTGCCTGGAAACTACCCAACCGTTAGGGTAGACCACAGTAACTTTAAGCCAGGGAAGCATGCGCAGGTTTCTAGGTTCCTATGCAAGAGCACAGATGTGAGAGTGTAATTTGGCCATGTCGGATCCCGTGGCGATCCTAAGGTCCATGGCGCTCCAGGCCGGGCTGCCAACTTGTGTCTGCTCGTGCCTTTAAGAGGAAAATACCGGCATTTCTAGAGAGAACTGAGGTAAACTCAAAATACCGCTGAGCACGCCCCTAGGACAGCCTGCTGAAGTTGAGCGGACGCTGAGCGCGGGCCGTGTTGCGATGGCCCATCCGGCAGCTGCCGACCGAGCCGGAGGCGGCCGGCCGTCCTCCTGCGCGCTGTGTGGTCTGAAGTGAGCCCAGCCCGCCATGGCGTCCGTCGTCACCAGCTGCCGACGGCCTCTCAGTGGCTGCCGACCGCCGCTGGCGACGGGTACGAGCGCTGCCCAGATCCCTGACGTCCGCAGGCCCGGCTTCAATCACGGATGGAAATGAGATGCTGCCGTAGCTTACTTCGTGCCAAACCCTGAGCCCCGAGCAGCGAGCACGAGCAGCCTCCGCCACTTAGCGGGGTGTCCGACAGGCCACGCTTGGTCGATGGGTGGTAATGAGACCTTCATGCTAAGCAAACAGGCGTCATTACCACCGGCTATGCTCACCTGCCCGTGGTGCTGTATTGTTACATTACTGGGCTCCTGCTAGGTACGCTGAATGTTAGCCTCACCGAGCTCGTATTTGAAATGGGACATGGCTAAAGGCACATTTTCTTCCCCAGCTGAAATGTACGGGCGCTTCGATGAACCCGGCACGCTCCTTCGGACCCGCTGTCGTCACTGGTATCTGGGCCAACCACTGGGTGAGTTTTCTCATGCAGCTGCAACCGCTGCACGCTGCACGTCTTGGTCTCAACGCCCTGGTGTTAGGAGGGTACTTGTGGCTGGTGCGACCGCTTGGTGACCCGTCCGGCGCTCTGGACCTGATGCCGTTCGGCGACTTTGTCCGTACTATGAACCTGATACTTTTCGGTGACCCGGCCGGTGCTCTGGACCTGATCCCGTTCGGCGACTTTGTCCGTACTATGAACCTGATACTTTTCGGTGACCCGGCCGGCACTCTGGACCTGATACCGTTCGGTGACTTTGTCGGTGCTCTGAACCTGTTATCGTTTGGTGACCCGGCCGGTGCTCTGAACCTGTTACCGTTCGGTGACTTTAGCGGTGCTCTGAACCCGTTATCGTTTGGTGACCCGGCCGGTACTCTGGACCTGATACCGTTCGGTGACTTTAGCGGTGCTCTGAACCCGTTATCGTTTGGTGACCCGGCCGGTGCTCTGAACCTGTTACCGTTCGGTGACTTTAGCGGTGCTCTGAACCCGTTACCATTAGGTGATTCGGCCGGTGCTGAATGTTTGAATGTTCAAACCTGATGTTTGAACTCCGACGTTGGACGAACGGGAAAATTACAGCTGCCGTTGCTGGTGCCATCGCACAAGAAGTTCGGCCTTTGAACCCTCACATAAATCAAGATCAGACGACGACCACCGTCCTAGTGCCTTTTTAATGCGCGAGTTGAAGCTTATGCGCCCGGTGGGTGAATGGTGACGCCATTTTTATGGCGATGTGTAGAAGCGAGTTGGTTAAGCTAACCTAACACGGCTTGGCACCAGCTTGGTCGCAGCGCCGCGCCACTCCATCACCAAGATGACGTGCGCCATGTTCTGTCTAGACATTGTCTGTGGTCGTGGAGACAGCCATCTCGTAACAGGGGAAGCAGTGACTTCTCCCGGTTACAGGAAAGATATATTGGCTCGATGTCAAACCGTTTGCTTCTTAGCTATTTGACCCTCAACACAGGACAACACGGGACAATTTGCTCACCGAAAAGTGGGGAGTCATGTGAAAGTATCCATGCATTTCGGATTCAAATTGCACGTACGCTGCACGCAACGAAGGCGCTGTTCGCTGCAAACAATACGTAAATAAAAATCGCCTTGCGGCTTTGGAAGCATTATGCAAATAGAAGCACCTCTCTGAATAACTGATTTGTTTGGGCTGACTGAAACCTTTTCTGAATTTTCTTTTCACCTCTTGCTGAGGTGGAAAGCTCAAACTTCTGGAATTCCACGAAATTATTGTCGTTAACATGAAACGTCATTCAAAGAACAACACGCTGCTAACCAATGTCCGCACAGGCATGGAAAACCCTTGCGTATAAAACAGCTAACCATAATTCACACTATTTTCAGCTAACGATGCGGGTGTGGTTGCGCGCTGCACATGGGTGCAGGTGGGTAGTTCTGAACGTGTCACTGCTCAATTTAAAGCGACTTCCACTGAGCTCACCAAGGTGCACTAGGCTGAGCATCGCGTGTCTGCGTGGTGCACTTACATCTTCCGTGACTAACAGAGGGCGGTGAGAGCTAACAGGAGGGCGAGCCGCTTGCTGTGTCACCCTTGGCGGCTTGACCCGGCCTGTGTCAACAGCGCGTGGCGGGCCGGGCGCGCGCGCGCGCGCGCGTCTCGTCGGCGCGCGTCTCGGGAGTCGCGCCACGATCAGCCAAACATGGCTGGCCGGCGGCCGGCGCGCTCGCGCTCTGTGTACACCGCCAGCGGGTCAGCACCGCGGCCGCCTGGCCAGCCGGCAGTGACGGCTGCCTCCCAGGCCTGGGCTCCAGCACCGGCAGCCAACTCGTGGTTGGGCCCGCCCGGGCCTACAGCACCGGCAGCAAACGTGTGGCTGGGGCCTCACTCGGCACACGGCTGACTTAATAAACATTGCCTTTCTCCGTCTCGTTTGCAGACGGGCCATGCAAGTGGTTTCACTTTTATGATATTGGTGGCCACATGCAATTTCTTGAGTGCATGATTAAGGGCAAACATCGGTTGCGCCGGTTGCCCCCTATCTGAAAATGCTGCTTCCCAGGGCAAAATGCACACCCCGCCAGGATGTAAAAAAAAAACAGCGCAACATACACACGGAGGTTTGGGGGTCGTTGTAAAAAATGATACCAGGCTTTACAGGTGTGAACTTCTGATCAGCGATTAACCATTTCCGCAGTTCACTAAGGGCCCGTCTGACGCCCAGACCACCTCGCATGTCCCTCTCTTCGCCTCCCTGTTTCCGACCTCATGTTCACCTTTCCTTGTTGCCGTCTGCATGTGCACATCTTCCTTTGTGTCTTGATGTCTATGTCCCCGGTGTCGTCTTCATGTCCTCGTCTCTATCTTCCTGTCCCTGTATCCCTGTCTCCGTGTCTACCTCTCTTTGCCTCCTCCTTCCTCTTTCCACTGTCTTGCCCCGTCTCCGTGTCTCCTTTCTCCCGCCCAATCACCCTCTAAAGCGCCTGTCGCTGTCTCCCTGTCCCCCGTCCTCCTGATTTTGCCTATCTGCTCCTGTCTTCCTATCCTCACCTCTTCGTTCCCATGCAATATCCGCATCTCCCAGTGCCAGTCACTCCTTTTCTCTTCCCCTGTTTTCTTCCACCTGTGTCCGCTGTCCTTTTTCCGCCTTTCTGCTCTCACCTGCCCGCGTACATTTCCCCATGTTTACCTCTCCGTACCCGCTCACCTTTTCTGTCTCTGTGTTTCCGTCTCCTTGCACTAATTCCCCTATTCTCGCTCCCTTTTCTCCTTCATGTTCTCGGCTTTCGTCTCCGTCTTCTGGTCGCCGGATCCCTGTCTCGGTCTACTGGCCCCAGTCCACCAGCCTCCGTCTCCCTGTCCACCCGCCTCCGTCTCCCTGTCCACCCGCCTCTGTCTCCCTGTCCACCCGCCGGCGTCTGCCTGTCCACCCGCCTCTGTCTCCCTGTCCACCCGCCGGCGTCTCCCTGTCCACCCGCCTCTGTCTCCCTGTCCACCCGCCGGCGTCTCCTTGTCCACCCGCCTCCGTCTCCCTGTCCACCCGCCTCCGTCTCCTTTTCCGCCCGTCCAGTGGCTGGCCGTCGACCGGGCCGCTCGAGCCGAGGCTCTCCGCCTCGGCGCCTCGTCAGCAGCCAGCACACGTCTGCCCCGGCCGGGCAGCGACCAGAGCAGGACGGAGACACGTTATGGCCGCTACTCACGCTCAGCTCGGCACGCCATGCCAGTCTGCGCCCGCCAGGGCCCGGCCGGCCAGCTAGTTATAGCTCGCAGGCCTGGCCCTGGCGAACCATCTGTAGGCGCGAGCCGAGCTCATTACGAATGGATCAGGCGACTTGGCTCGGTTCCATTGTGTGTTCGATGTCCGATAGCTTCCCGGTGTGTTTTATATTCGACTCTCGTTCGTTCCGAGAGGCGTGCCTAGTCGTTTTTTTTACGAAACAGGGTAAACAGATTAGACCTGCTTCGCTCCATTGTCAGCGTCCAAGGCTCGCTCCCAGCGAGTTGTAGTCCAGCCAAGTGTTTGGCTCCAGTGCAGGCTACCGGGATGACGCGAACTGTTAAGAATTGAGTCTCCGAAGAATTGTGCCCATCACGTCTCCAGAAGACGACGCTGAACGCACGTTACGGCCGATCAGCTCCAGCCATGAACGGCTAGATTGGCTCTGACTGTCTTACCTGGACTTTGCGATGAACGTGTCCGCTGACGCCTGCAGGTAATCGGCTTTGTGGTAGACCGCAATGCTCCAAACTTGCTTTGTCTCCCGTGTCATAAAGCCGAGCCTCCAGGACGTTTAAGCCGCAAAGCACGGAAGGTGGGGCCAGGTCTCACCTGTCCGGCCCGATCCGCCGCGCCCGCTGGTACGACTAGGGTAACCACAGATCGTCCAGTGTAGCGCGGCGACCCAAACACTGGTCTCACGTATCCGGCCTGACCCGCCGCGTCTACTGGCACGGCTTGGGTAACCACAGATCGTCCAGTACAGCGCGCTGGTCTCACCTATCCGGTCCGACCCGCCGCGTCTACTGGCACGGCTAGGGCAACCACATATCGCCTAATATAGCGCGGCGACCCAGGCACTGATCAGTTCCACCTGTACGGCCCGACCCGACGCGTCTACTGGCACGGCTAGGGTAACCACAGATTGTCCAATACAGCAAGGCAGCCCGGGCACTGGTCAATCTCACCTGCCCGTCCGACTCCCTGAGGAGACAGTAGACGACTGCTGTTGGAATATAGGGCTTTAGAGGGCTTGAGTTGTTTGCAACGGTACAAAGTGAAGTCGCTGGTCCGCTGCCCAAACTGTTATTCATATATTACGTCATATCTGGTCAGCTTCGAGCGCGTGTATCATGTCATATCGGATCAGCTCCTGGCGGTTATATCACGTCATATCGGATCAGCTCCTGGCGTTTATATCACGTCATATCGGATCAGCGCCTGGCGGTTATATCACGTCATATCAGATTGGCATGCGTGAAACTAGCGTGAAGGGAAACCATTTCAGACCTTGGATTTGTGCTATTTATCACCATAGATGGTTTGTTAAATGCGCTTCGCCATTCGATGGTATATAATGGCGCTTTGAATGTGAAAGCATATGGACCGCAGAAGTCTCTAGATGAAGGCGGGAGAACTAAGGGGACGGGTGCTACTGGCCTCCGTGGTCTAAGAAACAACGCCGCGGCGCTTCTTCGTTGAAATGGAGCTAAAAGCGTCCTCCGCCTGGCTTATTGTAAACTGCTACACTGCCGACCTCGAGAGAGGTTACTTAAATTCATATTGGTTTGTGCTTTTGAAAAGCTACGGTTTGTCCTTCGTAATGTGGCTAGGACCACAGCTTGGGTCATCATCGACAAGATGTTGTCATAGTGAACTGGCTTTAGAATCTTGTCGGATTCAGGGATTTAGAACGCACCTCAAATGATCTGATGCTGTCTTCATTTGGTCGGGAAAGGTGCGGTGAAGCACTGGTGGTCGTTGTTTGTTCAGACTATGCTGGATGTGTGCAGAACGTGCTTTACATGCGGTGAGGAATTTATTCGGCCATTCGACCATCCTCCGCATTCCATCAGTATTCCTTCAGTCATGCCTCTCCGTCCCTTTATCCCCCTCCCTGCCTCGCCGCCTCCCTCCCCTCTCCGTCATCTTGTATGTCTATTTTTGCCCCCTCTCCTGCGCCCAGAATGCAGTACCTACGTGTCATTGCGCCGGTATCCAATTTGGGCGTGTGTGCGCCTATTCGGCTCTGTGCTCGGACGCAGTCAACGCGTATGTGCACATAGGCGGCTCTGTGCTCGGACACAGTCAACGCGTATGTGCACATAGGCGGCTCTGTGTTCGGACGCAAACAACGCGTATGTGCACGAAGGCGGCTCTGTGATCGGCTACAATCAACGCGTGTGTGCACATACTCGGCTCTGTGATCGGCTGCAATCAACGTGTGTGTGCACATAGTTGGCTCTGTGCTCGGACGCAATCAACGCGCGTTTGTACATAGTCGCCTCTGTGATCGGCTACAATCAACTTGTGCATGTACATAGTCGGCTTTGAGCGCGGCTCCTGTACGACATACGAGCTGGCGTGTCCTGCTGCCGCAGGTGTTCTGGGTGGGCCCGGTGCTTGGAGGCCTGCTGGCTGCCCTGATATACACAGGTGCCTTCCGAGCCGGCCATTTGACCCGGGCACCGGGTGACGAGGTCGAGGTCAAACCGGCCTCCCGCGGCCCCTAGATGTGCTCAGGTTCGTTTTGCAGTGTGCTGAGGCCAAATGCGCTGCACGTGATGTCATTTAGTTCAATCGCAATTTTTGGTCTTGGTATTCCGTGTCCAATCGTGTATAAATAAATGGCCAGTTTGTGCTTGAAAGCAGCCTTACAGCTTTGTTACACACGGATCATTCCACGTCAAACTGGACGAGATGTTTCTTCGCTTTCTCTCGATTTCACTTAGATTTGGACTACACTTATGGTAAAGAGTGAAATATTACCACACACTTATTTGTATCCCCAGTGACTGTTGAGGCCAAAATTGTATGTCATTTTAGGTCACGACGTTTTGCTGACATAAGCTCGTTCAGATGTGTGTACCGCAGTTAAGAATTGCAAAGGGAACGTGCAGTTGCCGTTCTTTGGAGGAGAAACTTGCAAGCACTGTGAGCATCCCTATCGTTTCACATAACTTTAGTCTGAACTTTGACATGGTGAGCTTAAAGTGAGCAATTTGAGATTTGCCTGGTGTTTGTGTGCTGTCAGTTTAGCAAGTATCTGACAGAATCGCGATCAACTGACTGACTACAAGTTTGAGAGAACCAATTCCGCAGTAATTAATGTTTTTAGGACACCGTCGTTCATGTATAGTTTTGCAATCCAGTTCAAATATGCCCTCAGGTTATTTCATCATTAGTGACTTGGTGTGCACGTCTTGATCATTTGATTCAGTCAATATTCGGTACACACAATAGCAGTGGTGGCCATTCTGTGGCCACACAACTTCGTGCTGACCTGACCGGACCCAGCCCGACCAAAATGTCAGTGATAGTCGGGCAACAGTACTGTCGCAAATTTTGGAAGCCGAACGGCACTCAAGGGCAAGTTGGGATCAAAGTGGGTGTAAACGGACCACCTCAATGTTTTCCATTGCGCCACTTCATTGTACCAGGAAAAGGGCAGATGCATCGCGTTTGGCCGTCGTTGCGTGAAGGCGTTTTCTTTGCCAGACGACTTTCTGGCACTAAACGATAAAAGGAAGTTTGAGCAGCTACAACGATCCGGCACCCATAGCGTACGGCATGTGTTTTTCAGTGACATTTTGGTGCGCTATCAGTGGATTTAGAATCATTTGCTGGACATTAAATGCTCATGAATTAATGTAGGTGGTGTATAACTTATGTTCAGTTCCAAATCAGAGCCTCAAAATATATTAAAATCAATCTGACGTCGAAAAGACGATCTGAAGTCTTCCGAGGTCAGAAGCCTCGGTCGATCTCAGAGATATCACGAGTGTAGCGAGTGTGGTAAACATTATTTGCGTGATCTTAACTAATTATCAAACCATTGGTATGATCCATTTCCACCTATTTTGACCCAAACTAGCTTCTTGAGTGCTATTGGCTTCAGTAGATTTGCGACTTTCCGATGCACTGACCTTTCAGGCCGTCAGGCCGGGTCGACTTGAAACTGTGTAGCAGCGCAATGGACAGTGCTGGAATAGTGTGTGCCAAATTTGAGCCGCATTCTTCGAACGAAACGTGCATGTTTACGCAATAATCCTAAAATGGACCGAGATTAGATTTGTCCTGAACGGCGTGGTCAAACTCAGCCTTGATATTCTAGACACGTTAGCAATTTTGCTACCATAAACTTCCGCCAATGATATAACCAAATCACACATCAGTTGTTTTTTTAAGCGGAGGGCATTTAATTACTGTTTACAGACACATTTCACAAGTTAGTCTCATAATGATAGACATTTAAGGTCAGCAAAGGTCACGTGAAATTGTTTACATGCATTGAAATGTTTAAAAGAATGTGTCGGGCAAATGATGGCAAAACCACCTTCGAGTGAGAATTTTTCACTCTAATGTACACACAATTAAATTATCCCAGGTCGGTGAAACTTTCTGACATAAGGTGATCTGCAACTTGAATGATAAAATCACTAAGGTGATCTTTCACTGGATGTTATACGCATGCAAAATTCGATCAAAATGAACAAAGGAAGGGTTCAAAATGTCGCTTCATGTGCAATTTGACATGGCATTTCCTGCATGCTTCTGATGCTTTAAACTAATGGAATGAATGAGTGTTGCTTTCTGTTTGCTTCCGAAATGCCATAGCTTTTCAGTGATCTCACTTACAAGCATAACTTACTAAATGCTTATGGGAGGGTTAACAAGTGGTAGCTTTGCTGATGACTTATCACAGAATCATGCTGTGCTTTAGATTTTACACAAGAGCACCCATAAACTGTGCCTGTCAGCTGCTGCTCTGTAATACTAGGGGACGCGACACTGCCAGGTAACGCTGCGCGTTTGCTGTCCGTGCGGGGAAATTAGGACACTGAAGGGAAAGTTTTATCACATCCAGTTACAGATAATGTGCGAAGGATTTATTAGCACGCAAAATCTCGTAGCAATGCATGGATTTTCCGTGAACCGCACATAGGCCTTTAATTGAAGGTCACAGTCAGGCTCGTTCACTTACCATGTCACCTTGTATTCTAAGCCATGCCCTTTTGCTAATGCTTGCACATTCGCAGTAAAGTACGTAACTTTGTACCTATGAAAACG